GGGGGTGGGGGAGGGGTCGCGGCGTTGGGGGTTGGGCTGGTCCTCCTCGCTCGCTTCTGTTTCTCGCTTTTATCTGCTGTGTTGACCGGAGCCTGAAGCTTTTTCTCCTTCAGTCCACCCCTCCCTCCTTGGCTGGCTTTTGGTGCTTTTCTTATCAATCTTGGTAGGGTTTTGTGGGGGGTTTCTTTTTCTTGGGATGGATCTAGTGAGGCTCCTTCTATTTTTATTCATTCAAGTTGAATAAGATTAGGAAAATTTGGCGGAGTCTGAGCCGTGATGTCGTTGTTATCGTGTACCCTCGGAAAAAATTTGTTGTTGTTTATCGTCTCCTGGACCCTCTTATGTGCTACCATCTGCATTGTTAAGCATGATATGTCACGTCTTCTTGCTTGCATTGTCATGGCGTGTTGAACTTGTGCTCGGCTCCATTAGCAAGTAGGCATTATAAATTGATTGGATTTGCGTGGTTTTAGTGGGGTCTCGTGAGGCTGTTTTGTGCATTGTTATGTCGTATTGTTTTATTGATTGTTGGGGCCTTTTTGTGTTATTATCTGGGTTGTCAAGATGTCTACTGGATGGTGCCAGTAATGCATGTTACCTGTTCTTGCATTCATCGGTGGTGTATTGAATTTGTGCCCAGTTCGACTATAACACTCCTAGTAAGTGTTATAACTTGACTGGACCACGTTGTTCTAGCGGTGCCCGAAGCTTGGTAATCATTGGAGATGCCTCACGTGGAATTTGTCTTCTTTCTACAGATCGCTCCCCCTTCTTCATCTATTGCAAGGTGCGTCCTTCGTTCTCGCCGTAAAATGTCATATTATATGAATGACGAAAACTACAGTTTGGGTAACAACGACAAACAAAGTAACTCAATTACACTACTGAAACAAAACAAAAAGTCTGGCATCGACAATGCCATTGTTTTTTCCAGGAGCAGGCCAAGTTTCCTGCCATTACTTGCCAAAAAAAAGGGAACACTTGTGTATAGTATACATGTCTGGAAAGCGATGGTCACCAATATGTTAAGATGCTAGAAACTCACAATGCATTTTTGCAAAGTTTATCCAGGCCAAAGCCATTTCGGCAAACTGTCTAAACACAAGAATGTATTTACCTTGATTCGTAAATAGATAATCTTATAGGAAGTGTGCAATTAGATTATCTAATTTTCTAACGCTTACTGTTTTTTTTGGCAAGGTGTAAATATTAATCATCAGAATTGTCATGGAAAATATATGGACAATAAATATTACTAATTTTGTCAGAATATTCCAATAGATACTAGTGATCAGTGAAGCATGGTATCCATTAGAGATTGCGTTAAGCGTATACAGGACGCCATCCATTTACATACGAGAAAGATTTGATGTATTTTGTTTGGTTAATTAATAGATTGTTGCTACAATAACTGTTTTGGCTCTGGGAGCATATGCTCCCGGATGAACAATAAATTCAAAATAAATAATAAATGAAATTGTTATTTTTATTTTTGTGTGTGGATGTTCATGTTAGTCTAACAAGTGTGCCTGACATTTTCATGAGAAAGGGGATAGCACTGCTTCGTCGATGAAAATAAAATAAAATCAAGTGTAACATTTAGAGGTAACTTTTGTTGTCGTTTTTTTTGCACATGTCAAAATGCTTAATCCTTTTAAAACAATTTGCGTGTAGCAATTCAGTGTGACAATTTTTTGACATTTGCAAAAACATTTTTTGGCGGATAGGAGCATATGATCCCAAGCGACGAATTAGATTTCTGTAAAAAGAAAAGACCGTACAATAGATCACATGAAAACAAATTAGGTAGGTTTCACCATCGTCAATAGTTTCTCTTTTTAGTTTGAAAAAGTTGAAATCGATGTGAAATCAAATTCAGTTGACAAGTACGTCCAAGACCAGGCAACAAAGTGGCTTGCGTAAGCTAAAAAAAAGTGGCATGTGTTCGGCGAGGACTTGACTTGCATGTACAGACACCGTCTCTCTTTGTTAACTGATCACTACTGTAGTTCTATCAAGTAGGCGGAGTACTGGATGAGTGTATGCGCGTATGTATGAGCGTTTGCGTCTATACTGATGTTCAAAAAAAAAGTAGGTGGAGCACTCACAGTAACGAACTAATGTGTGGGATTGTAAAGAGAGCACGTCCTTCCCACGGCTACGCCCGTGCATGTAGCAATTCCTTGAATTTTTTTCCCTCCGATCAATGAATATGCGTCCGTCCGGTCAATCCGAGAAGTCCGGCTGTCGATGCTTAACACCAAAAGAGAGCACATCCTTCCCACCCCACGGGGTACGCCCGTGTATGTGCGATTTGCATATGTAGCAACTCTTCAATTTCATTCTTAAAAGAAAAACTCTTCAATTTTATTTTATCTTTAAATGACTGTAAGGGCATCTCCAACAGCAACCCGTAAATTTTCTTCAGCATCCGGCCATAGACAGGGGGGTCAGTCCATGGACACAGATGCGGGAGGTCGCCATCTAATACTGCCCGCATAGATTTCAAACACTTATTCAACAAACCAGAAGAAACTCATGCAAACACGACAAATTTCATATAAACCGGATGAAATTCATTACATTTTGGACATATTTTACTTAAATATCTAAAACTATGTGCACGTCCAGCCACGTGGAGCTCCATTCCCACGACACAGATACACTACATTAGTCTATGACCAGCCTAGTGGATCCCATTTGTCTTCCCCATGTCCGGCAACCCGCTTGCGGACCGCCGTGAGCCCCGGAGGTATATTCTTCCCCGTATCTTCCCTATGTCAGGCTGCACCGCTCATCGGAGTGGCAAAGGGGGTGCTTCGGCCGGAGGGGATTGGGGGCTCCGCATCTGTGAAGCCCAGACGGGGGTCGACGATGGTTTGCGCTGAACCGGACAAGACACCGGCTTCGCTCGACAGTGGCCTTCATGAGACCCAAGCGGCGGCGGCGGCCTCCCATCTTCTACTTCCCCTCGATGATGGCGGCGGGTGTGGACCAGACGTGCTAGATGCCGCGTCGCCGACAGGGCGCAGTCACGGACACGTTGACGACGAATAGCGTGAGCATCAGCATGGGAGGAACGGTGCGGCACGACTTGTCCCCGGAGGCACGATGCCTATGCCGCTGTGGTCCACCGTGTGCCAGCATGGAGCAACATGCCACTCCTCGGCGAGTTGCTGAATGACGCGTCGGCTAGGAGCTTCAACCGTCGTGAGCTGGCCTGCAGCCACCCGTACCGTCGACGGAGGCGGAGCAGAGAGTTGCCTGGCTCATATCCGATGGGCACGACGGCCCACTTAGCCAGCTAGTATGTTGGAGAACTCGTCCTCCTACTCGCCGGATGCCATGGAGCTTGTGGAAAAAATGATATGCAAGGAGGAGATGGGAGGGAGTGTGGTGCATTTTTTGCCCGATGTCTGGGCATCGTTTAAATAGCACGGGAATGGCCGGAGCCAACCGGTGTTGTGTTTAATGACTGGCGGCTCGTGAATGGACGTGTGGCCAGAGTAGATTTCTCGGCACACGCGCGGGTTTTAAATGGAGGAAGGCGGACAGTCTGCAACCGTTTGAATGCAGTGAGGAGGCGTGTTCGGCCGGACGAGTAGTGGGCAGTACTCTCTCGCCCAGTTCGCCGCTTCAATGCTGGCAGTGAAAGGTCGCGTCCGTCTGCGCCGCCCTCCCATCTGGTCAAATCGCGGGCATCAATGTCGCCCGCTGCATGCTCTGAACTGGCATGAATGCGACACAGTAAGCGGCGCGATGCGTGAAATGAAAAATACGGGAGGGGTGGGGTGGAGGTTTGGGTAGGCCAGGGCGGTTAGAGACGAGCGTGGTTACGGTCTGGACGCCCGCAAAGCCCCCACGTTTATCTCCGGTTTGCAGGAGAAAACACGTCCGGCCCATCCTATAAAACAATACAAACCCGTGTGGAATAGCATAACACGTCCAAAACAGCGTTGTCCGAACGTTGCATATGCGGTCGGTTTGAGGGTCGTCGTTGGTTAGAGACGCCCTATTGTGTTCGCACGGACGCAGCGAGCACGCATGTACGCGTTGCGCCGGGAAAACGGGACGATGCACATGCTCGGAATGCATGTCCCGCGAGGCAGGCACGCCACCGTCACCACGCCACATCCATCCGCATGCCCCTGCGTGCGTGCGAGCTTCAGTTTTAGGGGCGCGTGGACGCATGCGTGCATACAAAGACGTCTCGTCAGGCTCAGGCAAAAGGAAAAGGGCCGGAGCACCGCGCGCGCACCGAGGACGGAGCACGCACGGCACGGCACGGCAGTGCGCGCTTCGGTCTCCGCGCCCCTCGGACCAGGGAGCGGGTGCGCGCGTTATCCGCTTGGAAAACAGCGTCGCGCGCTGTCGGCGTGTCGGGTGGGGCGGCCGGTTTCCTCGTGCGTCGCCGCGCGGCGGCGCGGAGCAAGGAGACACCGGCCGGCCGGCGGGTTGGTGGCACGGCGAGGTCTGGTCGGCAGACGGCAGCGGCTAGGCAGTCGGCACCGCGACGCTGCGTGAAAAGAGGAGAGGAGGTGGACTGGGAGTGGGACTGCATTGCATGCATGGCGCATGTGACGCCCATCAGAGCGAGCGATCGGCGCCCCTCGCGGACAGCAGTGCAGCACGCAGCGGCGTAAAGGTGGCTGGCCCCGACCCGACCCCGCCATGTAAACAGCACGAGCACGAGGCGCCACAGCGGAAAGCCTCTCCTCTGCTCGTCCTCGGCTTTGCTTCGGCCAATTGGCCCTGGCCCCCGGCCCCCGAGCGCGCGGCCCGAGCGGCACCACCAGTCCACCCCGCCGTGTCGAGCGCCAGCCACGGTCAATGCAGGTCAAGGATGCTGCTT